GACGTGAGATGTATTGTCCTTCTCCGGATTGTGTTTAGAAACTGTGGGCCAACCTTTCATTCACCAAATACCCAATGTTACCAGAGCAGGATGCCCAGAGCCACAGTGGCAGGAATGCGTTAGCTTACCAACTTTCTACTTTACGGTCCTCCAAAACGTCCCAGCTCCACCCTCTTTCCCACTTGGCCGGCCTGTACAGAGGCCCAGGCCCCACCATCTTGGTCACCTCATGGAGTTGTGGTTGAAGGGATCAACAACGTCTGTTAGTACCCACTGAATGCAGAGTGCTCTGTTGGGCCTACCAAGTGGGAGCAAACAAAGTGAAATTATGAAGGTGCGCTAAGGATAGAAAACTAGACAAAATACCGTCCCTCTTCTTAGGGAGCACGCAGTCTGTTTGGGAGGGAAGCTACAAAGTCAAATGCCCACACGGGGACCAGGCAGGTGAGGTCAGTGAGGGAAGAAGTCCACATGGGGACTGTGGTATATTTTGCAGAGCAATTCCTCTTTTAAAGGGCCATCCACAAGTCAATTCCAGAAAGTTCTTGCTCTGCAGGAGGATGAAACAGTATGGCCTGATGTTTCAAGAGATACCAGAAATCCAGAATTCCTATCTCCAGTTTTTTTTTTTTTTTGTCAACTAAAGTGTTATTTTAAAGCATTGTTTGGGTAAAAATAAAAGACACATAGAGGTTGGATACAGCTTGTGGGAAGTTACTGTGTGACTTCCAAGGAGAGACAGATAAGAGAAAGAGTGACCGTAAAGCAATTTGGTGGGTGTTAAGACAGGGGAGGTCTGCAGGCTTTGCAAGCAGAGGCAAGGCACTAGTCTAGATAAGGGAAGTCAGAATAGGCTTTCTGGAGGGGGTGACGTGTGTGAATTGTGTCTGCTCAGTACTGGCTGTTCGAGGGATGTGTAGAAGAGGGTGAGTGCTTGGCTAAGGAGTCTACATGTCCAGAGGCAGGGATGTGCATGAAGCAGAATTTGCTGGGGTAACTGGAAGTTATTGAGAGGGACTGAAGCACTGCACACATCTAAGAAGTGCTGAGGAATGAAGCAAGTTGGTGCCAGATCACAAAGAGCCTTGAACGTCCTGCTAAGGATTTTGCTTTTCGTTCTGCAGCATTAGGTTGCTTTTGAGTAAATTTAAGCAGAGGATTAACATCATCCGACTTGAGGTGTAGAAAGACTCTGCTGATGGAAAAAGGACAAAAGCAGGGTAAGTCTGGTGTTTCTGTAGAGGCTCTTTCAGCGTTTGAGTGAGAAGTAATGAGTGTTTGAATCATACCAGTGGCAACAGAAATATACGAGAGATTCGAGCAATATTTAGGAGGTATAGGAGTTAGTTTCAATGGGACTTGATGAGGAAAGTAAGAGAGAGTAATGAGTCCAGAAAGTCTCCCAACCTTCTGGCTTGGGGGACTGAGTTGATGGTGCCCAAAAGAAGGGGAGGGGTGCAGGAGGAGGAGTAGGTTTTGACTTGGAAGCTAAGCAGTTTAGTTTTGGACCGGAGCTCCTGGCAGGTGTGTAGCTTTGGGTTTCTCGGCTCCATTTATTAATAAAGGCAGGGGAGTGAGTGCGTGTGATCACCCCGAAGATGGAGGGTTGGACCCTAGTGAACACCTCAGCTGGGGATGGTGGGTCAAAGTGGAGACATCTAAAAGAAGCAGCCATAGAGGTAGTAGGAAAACCAGGGGAGTGATACTCTGCTAACGGACTACAGAGACTCAGGGAGGAAGTGGGGTACACAGCCAAATGCTGTTGAAAAGGCTGATACACAGAGGTTGATAAATATTTGTCTATCGAATTTAGCATTAGGATGGTCATAGCTGATCTTGGCAATGGCAGTGTTAGGGATGGTGGGGGAAGAACCTGGCTGAAAATTGAAGAAGGCAATGGAGGTGAAATCGTGGAAACAGTGAGTATTGAATACCCTTTGTAAACTAGTTTGGTTATAAAGGGGATGAGAAGTAAATGGTGATAATGAAAGGACTGTATATGGTAAAGGGAGTAGTAATTTTTAAACATGAAAAAGGCTTAGAAATACTTGTGTGTCGACACAAAAGAGCTGATACAAATGGGGAGCGCAGCTGCTGAAGAGTGATGGATGATTGGTACGGAGAGCAGCGCAAGATGGGTGACCAGATGGTCGTGTGCCACGTTTCACCCTCAGTCTATTGTCCCTCTTGTGTTTTGGTCACCTTGCTTTGTGCTTTTCTCTCAGCCTCTGGTTCTTGTCCTCTTTGGTTCTCATGACATGTTTGCTGGTATCTTCAGGCAATTTCTCTGGTTGTGGTGGTGTCTGGGAGTGGCTTACAAGGACCAGGAAGGCAGACACCACTCTTACATTTCTGTACACGGGACTGCGACTTATAAAACAAGAACAAACAGGATCTACAGAAAGTTAATTTTTATACCTTTTAATAAAAGAATACTAAGAACGTTCTAATTTTTGCAGAGACAAAGTCAATAAATGCAGTTAGAGATGTGGTCCTTGGCTCCTGATAACCTGGCAAGTGTAGCGGTACATGTGCCCCTTGGCTGCCATTATTACTTTAATTAAATTGCAAAATGAACTGTAAATTTTGTGCCCCATTTTTCTAAGTGGCCAGGATTCTCTAAAGGAAGAAAGCAGAGAAGCTCATGATCTGGTGAAGGATTGAGAGCTGATTCATCAACCTCCATCTTGATATTTTATAGCTGGCATTCACGTAGCTCAGGAGCTCTGTTTTGGTTGATTTTTATGCTAAAAAGTTTCAACTGCTACAAGTGCCAAAACTCTCAGGGCTTCTCAGAAAAAATGGCTGATTCCAAGTCTGGGGCAGGGAAAATGCAACAGGAGCCCAGAACATCTTCTCCAGGAAATAAGGGAATGCTCAAAGAAGGATGGAGACTTGTCAAAGGGAATGAGCAGCCAGTTTGAATTGCCTCTTTTTGGGAAAATGGGAATGATAGTAATAGGTGGAAATGTATACATTTGTATAAATAAGTGGTAATGTATACATTTGTGTAAAATAAAAAACTAGATTTCATATAGACATAAATAAATATATGAATAGATTGAAAGTTTGGTGAGGAATGGGATTATTTACATCGTTTCAAACCACTTTGCCCTCAAATATTTATTAATTTCAATAAATAAATGGGAAAAGAGTTACTTAGCAGTAGAGAAAACTAGAAGACACCATCTAAAATAAGTGACAAAGTGACTATGATCAGCAATATTACTGGGACAGTCGATGAAAGTTAAATGAAGCCTGAAGATTGATGGAAGGTATGGCTTGGTGCTAACTTCCAGATTTTGATGGTTGCTTTGTGGCTTTGTAGGAGATGTCTTTGTTTGTAGGACATGACACTTGGGAGGTTGGAGCATCATGCTTGCAATTGAATCTTAAATGGTTCATCAAAGAGTTCTTTGCACTGTATTTTTCTGTAAATTTGTGATTATTCCAAAATAAAGACTATATATATATATATATATATATATATATATATATATATATAATTTTTTAGGGCAGTTTACAGTTCACAGAAAGATTGAGGAGATGGTACAGAGAGTTCCCATTTACTTCCTGTGCCCACATATGCACGGTTTTCCCCATTATCAATATCCCCCACCATAGTGGTACATTTGTTATAATAGATGAACCTACATTGACAGACACATCATTATCACCCAAGGTTCATAGTTTACATTATGGTTCACTCTTGGTGCTGTACATTCCATGGGTTTGGACAAATGTATAATGACATGTATTCATCATTATGATATCATATAGAGTATTTTCACTACCTTAAAATTTCTCTGTCCTCTGCCTATTCATCCCTTTCCGCATTCCAACCCTTGACAACTACTAATCTTTTTACTGCCTCCGTAGTTTTGCCTTTTCCAGAATGTCCTATAGTTATAATCATATAGTATGTACCCTTTTCAGATTGCCTTCTTTCACTCAGTAATATATATTTAAGTTACCTCTATGTCTTTTTATGGCTTGATAGCCCATTTCTTTTTAGCGGCATAATATTTCATCATCTGGATGTACCACACTTTATCCATTCACCTACAGAAGGACATCTTGGTTGCTTCCAAGTCTTGGCAATTATAAATAAAACTGCTATAAACATCCATGTGCAGGTTTTTGTGTGGACATAGGTTTTCGACTTCTTTGGGTAAATAGCAAGGAGCACGATTGCTGGATTGTATGACAAGAGTATGTTTACTTTTGTAAGAAATCACCAAACTGTCTTCCATAGTGATTGTACCATGTTGCATTCCTACCAACAATGAATGGGAATTCCTGTTCTCCATGTGCTTGTCAGCATTTGGTGTTGTCTGTGTTCTGGATTTTGGCCACTCTAATGGCTGTGTAGTGATATCTCATTGTTGCTAAAATAATAGATTTTTAAAAAGAACATTCCTCTCTGTCGCCAACAGAGATTCTTCAGGAAGTCTACAAGAGCTTCTAAGAATTGTCTACTTTAATAAGTTCCTGGAAAAGTTTAATGCAAACAAGAGTGCAGTACTTTGAAAAATGGTGGAATAAATAATGCAAACAAAAAGGAAGCCATCAGTCAGAGATAGATGTGCAGATCAAACCCGTTTCAACACAGAATGAATTAGGAGGCATGAAAATCCTAGCCTTTTCTTAGATTCATCATATGAATTAAGAGGTGAAAATCCTAGCCTTTTGCTTAGATTCGTCATATTCAATGGACTTCCAGGCAGGGAATGTGGGTTCACCTTATGACATGAATATGCTCATTTTTTTCTAGATGAGGAAACTTAACCCCAGATGGCTTAAATAAGCTTCCCAAGAATGCATTTTCCAGATTTCTGGCCCCTCTGACACCTAAATCCAGGCTCCTTTCTCCATGTCAGATTCATCTCTTCCCCATACCCCTACTCCTATAATGACCCGAGAAAAAGGTCTCAAAGTCAGTTTTTTTCATGTCTTTTTTCCATTTTTTTCCCCTGTCAATGGCTTACTGGACTCAGCAGCTCCCCAGGGCACACTTGTTTGGAGCTAGAGGTGTGGGTGATGGCAACACCAGGGTGTGCTTGGATTAACTCTTTGGATGTACTGCCCAGGTCAGTTTAACAGGCTCTTTGGATAACACAGCGGTATTTGGCCTCAGGTGCTTCCAAGCAAAGGAAGGAAATGGCATGAACTTCAAAGTGAGCTCTTGCACAGTGCGTGTGCCACGTGTACTGATCGTTTATTAGTACTTTAATAGTTGTCAATTAATCTCAGACATACATGGAGGCCAAGACTAGTTGGAGATGTGGGGACAGCCTGCTTTCACCCTTGTTTCCTGGAAAGTTAGAACATTTCCCAGTCTTAGTGCTCAGAAGTTTAGGGTCAACCTGGAGTATATGCTTATTTTCAAAGCTTTAAACAGACCTGAGCTTGTTCTTGGGTCTTTTCCTTGATCAAATTAGTGTTATTTTATTTATGTCTCATATATTTTATAAAACATTTGTGTATTTTATAAATGTTTATAAAACATTTATATATTTTATAAATGTTTTCAATTCATTTTTCTACTCTATAATCTTTTGTAAAAAGCAACTTAACTGGGGTATAATTTACATACAATAAATGCATCTTTAAAATGCAGTTTGATGAGATTTTAGAAATGTAAACATCCAGGTAGCCATAACGTCAGTTAAGATACGGGATATTTCTACCAGCCCAGAAAGTTCTCTTATATTCTTTTGCAGTCATTTCCTCCCTATCCGGGGGCACTCACTGATAAAATTTCTATTACCATTACTTTTGCCTGTTTTCAAGAGTTGATGTAAATAGAATCATACGTTATATACTCTTAGGTCTAGTTTCTTTTGCTTAGCATAATTTTTCTGAGATCCATCCATAGTTTTGCATCTGTCAGTAGTTCATTATTATTCTTTTCCTGTCTTTAATATAACAATTTTTTAAGTTGAAGTATAGTTGATTTACAATGTTGTGTTAGCTTCTGCTCTATAGCAAAGTGTTTCAGTTAACATATATATATATACATTCTTTTTTAATATTCTTTTCCATTATGGTTTATCACAGGATATTGAATATAGTTCCTTGTGCTATACAGTAGGACCTTGTTGTATATCCATTCTATATATGAGTTTGCATCTGTTAACCCCAAACTCCCACTCGATCCCTCCCCCATCTCTCCTCCTCCTTAGCAACCACAAGTTTATTCTCTATGTCTGTGAGTCTAATATAACTTAAAGTTTACATAATTTATTAAAATTTTTTAAATTTTGAAATAATTCAGACTTACTGAAAATTGGCCAAAACATTACATCCAGCTTCTCCTTATGTTAACATCTAGGAAATATATGTATTTCTACTAATCCATGTATACACATATCACTATATTTATTACTGTATCTATCAATCTGTATTTACATAAATATAGGTAGAAATGCAGAGTCTAATATACACACAGATTAGAAGAAGCATGAGGTCATGTTGGTGTCTCTGACTCCAATCCAGCAGTCTCACAGGGTTCATTCTAACATCTCCCCTTTGTTAATTTGCAACTTCTTTCTCTGACAGTGAGAAACCTGGTTCTCATAATCTACAGTTTATTTACTAAATTGTTCAATCCTAGTCTATGTGTAAAGTCATTTCAGAATAGTTATCCATACCCCTGTAAGAAACAAAATTTTCAATTAGAGTACAGAGTTTGCATACAGTTTTTATCTTTAACCGTACTGTATATAGTCAAAACATTTTCTTTTTCTACAGGTGTGTCAAGAAGTGATTCCTCCCAGCCCCAAACACTTTTTTACAAAGATATTTAGGCCAGCTTATTTCTTCCCCATCCCCTCCAGTTGGGTTGTGTCATTAATTTGTAATAAATTTAGATTCATTTGTTATAGTCTACATTTAATCTTTCTCCCTGCTGTCCTGGTTGAGTGTTTACATTTTGCGAATGGTAAAATTCACTCTTTGTTGGTCTAGTCCTATGAGTTTTAAAAAGTGCAGAGAGTTGTGTGTCCACCACCACAGTAACATCATCCTAGGAGTTACATCACCCTAGTAATTCATTATTTTTTAGTAGTATTCCATTGAAAAAATAAATCATAATTTATTTATTCATTTACTTGTTGCTAGATATTAGGATTCTTTCCAGGCTTGGCTCTTATAGATATGGCTGCAGTGAAATTCTTATGCAAGCCTTTTTGTGGACACAGGTTTTTAGTTATCTTGGTTAGATACCTAGAAGTGGAGTTGCCATATCATAAGGAAAGAGTATGTTTATTTTTTTAAAAAACCTACTAGGGCTTCCCTGGTGGCGCAGTGGTTGAGAGTCCGCCTGCCGATGCAGGGGACTCGGGTTCGTGCCCCGGTCCGGGAAGATCCCACATGCCGCGGAGCGGCTGGGCCCGTGAGCCATGGCCGCTGAGCCTGTGCGTCCGGAGCCTGTACTCCGCAACGGGAAAGGCCGCAACAGTGAGAGGCCCGCGTACTGCAAAAAACAAACAAACAAACAAAAAAACCCTACTGAAATCTTTTCCAAAGTGGTTGTACAATTTCATGCTAACTAGGGATGATGAATGAGCATTCCAGTTCCTCCACATTATCATCATTTTGTGCTATAAGTTTTTAATTTTAGCCATTCTAAAATTAAAAGACTATCTCATGTGGTTTTAAGTTGCATTTCCTGCTGGTTAGTGATGTTGAACATGCTTTCATGGCTATTAGCCCATACCCTTAACCACACCTGCAGAGTCACTTGTCATATTCATATATTGTTGTGGAGTTAGGGCATGGATGTGTTTGAGAGCCCATTATTCTGCTTATCATATATGGTGTGGATGTACCAGAGCGTGTTAACCATGCACTTGTTAAAGGACATCTTGGTTGTTTCCAGTTTCTCTTATGTATAAAGCATCTGTAAACATTTGTGTGCAGGTTTCTAGACGAGCATGTTTTCATTACTCTGGGATAAATGAATAGGAGTGCAATTACTGAGTTGTATGGTTGTTACCTATTTAGTTGTTAAGAAAAATTTCCACCTGATTTTACAGAGTTACCGTACCATATCACATTTCTACCAGCAACGTACAAGTGATCATTTCTCCACATCTTTTCGGCATTTGGTGTTGTCACTACTTTTTATGAGTGATTCTGATAGGTGTGTAGCAATATCCCATTATGGTTTTAATTTAAATTTCCCTTAGGGTTAATGTTGGTGACTATCTTTTCATGTGCTTAATTTTCCAACTGTGTGCTCTCTTTGGTGAAAAATCTCTTCATATCTCTTGCCTAATTTCTGATTGAATTGTTGGCTTTTTAATGTTGAGTTTTTAGAATTCTTTATATATTCCAGATAATAGTTCTTTGTCAGATTTGTGGTTTGTTAATATTTTACCCACTCTATAGCTTGTCTTTTTATCCTCTTGTCAGGATCTTTTGCAGAGCAAATTGTCTGTAATTTTGAAAAGTTTCAATTTATTGGTTTTTCCTTTTGTGGGTCATACTTTTAGTGTCACGTTTAAGAACTCTTTGTCTAGCCTTAGATCTTGAACATGTTCTCCTATATTTTTTGAAAAATTTTGTAGTTTTATATTTACATCTTAGTTTGTGGTCTGTTTTGAGTTAATTTTTTTGTAAGGTGTGAGATTTGGGTTGGGGTTTATTTTTTGTCCACTGATGTCCACTTGGTTCAGTGCCATTGTTAAAAAGGCTATCTTTCCCCCATTAAATTGCTTTTGTACCTTTGTGAAAAATCACTTTTATATGTCTATTCCTCTGCCAGTACTACACAGTCTTGATAATGTTCTGGTTTTTCAAAAACTGTTTTAGCTACTCTATTTCCTTTGCCTCCCTATATAACTTTTAGAGTACTGTTGACTATATCTACAAAAAAATCTTGCTAGGATTTTGATAGCAAATACATTAAGCCTTTGTATCAGTTTGGGGAGAACTGACACCTTCACTATGCTGAGTCTTTCAATCCATGAACATGATATGTCCCTTCATTTATTTTATAACATAGATTCTATACATGTTTTGTTAGATTCACACCTTAGTATTTATTTTTTTCTCCTAGAGATGGTAAATAGCATTGCATTTTTAGTTTTGGTTTCCATGTATTCATTGCTAGCATATAGAAATGAAATTGATTTTTGCATGTTTATGTTATATCCTAGAACTTTACTGAAATTAATTCTAGGAGATTTTTGGAGATTCCTTGAAATTGGTGTTAATTTTTCTTTGAATGTTTTATAGAATTTCCCAGTGAAGTCATCTGGGCCTGAGCTTTTCTTTGAATGTAGATTTTTTTCCTTTAATTAATAATTTAATATCTTTATTTGTTGTAAGTCTGTTAATGGTTTCTATTTATTCTTGAGTCAGTTTCAGTTGTTTGTATTCCCTTATATCTATTCTGTATTTCATTATTTATACTCTACTCTTCATTGGTTTTTTTTCTGCTTGATTTGAATTTTGTTTGCAGTTCTTTCTCCAGTGTCTTAAGGTAAAATTTAGGGTTTTGATATGAGTTGTTGTTGTTTTCTTTTAATGTAGGCATTTACAGCTGGACATTTTCCTCTAGGCATTGTTTTAGTGCATCCCACAATTTTTGCTATGTTGTGTCTTCATTTTCGTTCATCTTGAAGTATTTTTCTGATTTCCTTTGTGGTTTCTTTTTTGACCCACTGGATATTTAAAAATGTGTTGTTTAGGGCTTGCTTGGTGGTGCAGTGGTTAAGAATCTGCCTGCCAATGCAGGGGACACGGGTTTGAGCCCTGGTCCGGGAAGATCCCACGTGTTGCAGACTAACTAAGCCTGTGAGCCACAGTTACTGAAGACCACACGCCTAGAGCCTGTGCTCCGCAACAAGAGAAGCCACCAAAATGAGAAGCCTGCGCATTGCAACGAAGACCCAACACAGCCAAAAATAAATAAAATAAAATATTTTAAAAAGCATGTGTTATTTAATTTTCATCTATTTGTTAATATCCAAAAATTTCTGTTATTGATCTCTCATTTTCTCTCTGCTGTAGTCTGAGAATTAAAAAAAGTTTCTTTATATAAGCTCTTCCTAAATTGGCTTTCTTCTCTCTTAAGCCTAGCTAACTCTAGGGACTCAAACCAGTTTCCAAGTTCCTTCGTTGCTGCTTTATTTTCATATTTATTCTTCTGTTATGTTGCCTCTTTAAAATGTCAGAAGTTAGTTATCAAAAACTTAGGTTATAAAATACTAACAGTAAGTAGTATATACCACCTCCTACTTTCCTGTGCCTGTGTACACTCCAGTACAATGCCTGACTCCTAGTAACTGTTGGTTGAAGATTTTCTATCTTCTATATTTTCTGTCAAAGTGGTTTACGCATAGTTGGAGATTTGGAAATAGTGTTTGTTTAATGAAGAATTTGCTGGGGGTAGAGGGAAAGTGGGGAGTTGAGTTTTCTTAGCAAATATTCCAAATATGACCATTTGTGGAAGGATTTCTGAGTGGTATGAAGAATAGAAATAAGGAGTAGGAAGTTTACATGTTAATTTTCTTTGAAAAATCATGCAGAGCTAAACAAATGTGAGGCATAAAGAGCTTTCTGTTTTCAAAACTAGCTTTGCCCTAAAGTTAATCACTTCAAATTGTATAAAGTATACGTAACTGTGATGCCCCCTAGTGGCCATTTTCTGCCAGCTCGAAGAACAGAATGGAGGTGGTATTCAACAAATAGGCTGGATATTCTAAGATGCAGATACTACAATATCTGCAGGTCAGGTCGTGGCAGTGAGAGCACCAAATCCTAGCCACTAGACCACTGGTCAGTGACAAGGCCCTGGTTCTTCGGCTTTGCAGAAAAAGAATTCCCACAAAGATGGAAAGTAGTGAAGCAAGTAAAGTGTTCATTAGGAGGAAAGCAGATACAGTACATGTGGATAGACCCATGGGAGGCTCAGAGTGAGTGAGTCGTCCCCTCGTGAAAGTTTGCATCACTTTTATGGGGCATTTCTTCTGGGTCTCCTTTGGCCAATCATTTTGATTTGCCTGGTTCAGAGTCCGTATTTGGTATATCTCAGGATCCTCCCATGTGTGCGTGTGCATCTCTTAGCCAAGATGGATTGTACCAAAGAGGCCTATGGGTAGCTAGCATCACTTACTATGGGATGGTACCTCCTCCCTTTTTGATCTCCAAAGAGCTTTTCTGTGCATGTGTAGTCGGGGAGGTCTCCTGACTTAGAGAATGAAAAATACGTGGTCTCTTATCTTCTATTTGAGCAGGGCCCAGCCTGCTCTCTCGATTGTCCTGCTATTTTCATCTTGGAATGTCGGTCCGCAGAGAACAAATTCCAACTGTTTGTCTCAGGGGGCCCACCTATCTCCTGCCTCAGTACAAGGAGGATGGCATCCCTGGCTCCGGAGCTGCTTCTCTGCTGTAACTCGGTTGCTATGGAGGAGAGAATGGATTTCAGTAGAAAGCAAGTTATCTTCTCCACCCTATGGTAATTAGTTTGGATTTTGTTAAAAATACCATGGGAAGCTGATGCGTAGACAGAGGAATGGATTATTCAATTGCTTTGTTATGAAAACGTAGAGCAAGGTTAGAGAGGAAATGGGAAGATCATTAGAAAGCTTTTGAAGTAGTTCAGGCAGGAGCTGTTTTTGTTGGGAAACAGGGTGAAGGCAATGGGGAGACAGATTTGGGAACACTCAAACTGGATTTTGGAAATACTAACAATAAGAGAACAAAAGAGAGGATTAAAAATTTTCACCATTCTCAGAGAGTGTCCTAGGCAAAGAGAAGAGGCCAAAGGATGAAGCCAAATAAGACAAAGACTTTTGGAAGACAGTGTGTGAAATGGTTTAAGGCAAACGGGAAAGACCTTGGCCCAGAGTGATTCTCAAATCTCCCCACAGACCTCCGTGGTTGTTTTGATCTGAGTGGTCTGCTGGGTGTGCTTAAAGCAATCAACTGCAGCGGACGTAATGCAAATTTGCGTCCCCAGGGCCAAACCAAAGGCTGGAACCTAAGTGAGGATAAAAGCTGCTATATTTGATCCAGGTTTCAACATGACATGTATTGCCTCATTTAATTCTCACTGCAACCCATGAGAGAGGTCCATCATGAGTCTTCTTTCAGAGGAGTAAACTGAGGCTCAGAGAGAATAAGGAACTTGACGAAGATCACAAAGCTTGTAAGTGGCAGAGTAGGATTTGAACCCATGTATGTCTAACACCAAAGTTCTCACTCTTAACCTCTAAGCTCTGTTACTGTATACAGTAGGTGCTCATTAATGTTGAACCAATGAATGAATGAGTCAAGGGATTACAATTTTGGCCCCTCTC